GCCCCGGGCCCCGCGGGGGGCGGGTGGTCGGTCCGTGCCCCGGCCCGGCGCCCCCGGGGCGGCGGAGCTGCGAGCCCAAGCTTGGCGCCAGAGGTGCCCTGGGGAGAGGCGGCTCGGGCGGGACGGCAGCGCTTCCCCGCCGCAGTGCCCCTCGCCCGGAGTCTGTAACTCGTGCTTTGGACTCTTAATAAAGCGTATGGTGGGAGTATAAACGTGGGATTAGGTGTTATAGTGTGGACTCTTTTTCCTGTTCTCCCCTGGTAGTCAAAGTAGTTTCCGTTGGTGGGGCACTGGTGAAGTCCCCTGTAGGAAGTCGTCTGTGCTTACAGTTCTTGAAGCATTTGTATGTTTTCCTGTAACCTGCTTACTAAGATAGCTTATGTTTAGTGGGAAATGCTGCATAGTAGAGTTAAATGTGCTTAGAGTTGTGAATGCTTGCCCTGTAGTTCTTTAGCCTATTTGCTTTTAAGTTATTCATTACTTCTGAGGTATTACTGAGACTAAGCAGTTTGGTTGAGCTGTGTATGCCCACAAAAGTACTTGTAAGGAAACCTCAGTGTGAGTGAGGTTAAGGGTGTAGATGGCAGATCAGCACACACTAGATAGAGACGCTTGTTCGTGACCCACTTTCTTTGCTGAAATCACTTTGTTTTCTAGTTGGGTTTTTTTTTAGGCCTATGTGCTAGACAGAAACTGTTGAGGAAGAGTCCTCCTGATATAATGGATGCTGTAGTTGGAAGGTGGATGACTTTTATTTAACGGTATTTCAAGTTTCAATTAATCTGAGACATCCTCTTAAGGCTGTAGTACAATTCAAAGGCTACATCACAAGCACTTAGATCCTTCGTGTTGATTGTAGCTGCTGTAAAGTAACCTTTTTGGTATCTAGTGCCAAACTTATTTGTGAAAGCTTTGTAGCTTGTTGGCAGTGCCAATGCAAATCTTGGTGCCAGTGGTTCACCCTTGTTGCATAATAACACTCTTTAGGTGTTGCAGATAATGGCCAAATCTGTGCTCTCCTTTGTAAGAAGACGACTTTCCTACCATCTGTATTATTTAAGGGAGTTGCTTGTTGATGAGAGCTTATTTAAATCAATGAACCTAATTGGAGGACAGACCTGCATTAGTATGGGCTTGACTGTCTTCTCCACTAAGCTGTTCAACAATGTTTGCTTTTCTCAGATCAGGTATTTTTCATCTGGTGCACGTCTGACATGAAGGTCATGTTGCTGTTGGAACAAACTAGAGAGAAGTTAATTAAAAAGTCATAGGGGAGAGCTGAAAGCACTGGAATTAAAGCTGACTGCAATTAACATATTAGTGTAATTTTCACTATCGTGATAGAAATGTGGATAGTCTAAGCCTATGATATTTATATTAAGATTTGAAGTATCACATGTGAAATCATTGTCAAAGTACATTTGATTCCCTTAGGAAACAATACATGAACTTTTTGAGCTTATCCCATTCAGGTTGCTAATTGATATGTACAGTAAAATCATACCAGAGTGTTTAAGTGATGCTAACTAGTATATGCTGTGCTTCAAAATATTGTTGACTCTGGTATGGACAGGCACATAAAATTAGCTAGAAATGGCAATTCTGAGTTTCTACTGTTAATGTGTGATGTTGGAATTTGTACAATGGTGGCATTTCTGAAGGTCGGGTCTGGGGAAGCAGGTTAATTTTTGTAATAGGGGAAAGAAAGACATTCTGAAGGAGCATTCTTTTTCCAGATGTAATGGATGTGAGAGATGATGAGTCTCCAGCAATTTTCCAAGTACAAGCCATGTATCACTTCAGTAGGGAAACCTCTTTAATTAGCCTTTAATGGAACTTTTTCCTGGAGTTTTTAGGAATGATTGCAAATCCTTATTAGGTAGGTAGGTGGGTTGCACGGAGCAGTCCATGCTCCTCTAGTGGAAGGATGTCTCTTCCAGGAGTGTACCTTAGTACAGACACTTTGCAGCAGCTGTTTTGTGCCTATTGGTTTTGACCAGCTGATACTCAGCACTCAGTGGTAGAAGAGTAACAAGGCTGGGTCCAGGATCCTTGTGGCAGGACACCAGTCTGAAAGATGCTGCAACATTTTAAGCCAAACTTAATTTTTCTTTGGACTGCAGACTTTGCTGCTCTGTTGTCTGTAGGCTGTGGTGTGGTAGCCCGGGTGTCCCAAGCTGCATGTTTTTCAGCTCCACTTGCTCCCCATGGAGCCCATTTCACACACAGTTCCACCTAAACTCCTGCTGAGTGCTATTATATACCCCTCTGATATATCATCTTCACAGTTTTATGGAATGTATAAAAACTTAAATCTAAGATGGATGCAAAAAAGTAGTGTGATTTTCTATTGTACTGAAGTAAAATAGCAATAATACTTTGATATAAGTATTAATTACCAGTTATTTGTGGCATCTGGCTACTGATACTGTACAGAATGCATTGCAGTAGTGAAATGTGGAAGTTAAGGAGGTCCAAAGAAGTCCAAACCCAGCAGAAGCTCTCCCCGATTTACTCAGTTGTAGACAAACCCCTCTGTTCACACAGTTGTGTAGGAGCTGTTAGAAGTCTGAAAACACAATCAGATTGCCATAAAAATAACTATAACAGTCTCAAAACTATTTCAGAGCCAGTGATGTTTTTATTCTCTGAAAGAGTCCTCATGTAAAATGTTACACAGGTGTCGTGCTGACCAAGCTTGATGGAAACAATACCGGAAAGAGAACCCTCTAAGACAGTTCAGTAGAGTTGATTGTAACACACTGTGGAGTAGCAGCAGAGTCCTGCTTTGAAATGGTAATCTCATTTCAATTTTAAATATCTAATTGTATTACATATATAGAACTTTGCTTGTGATAGTGTCACTGCACTATTGTAGTGTTACTAAATGATCTCAGTAGAGCAGCTGAAAAATTTTTCTGGAAAGGGAAATTCTCACACTGCAGACCCTTCTTGGTATGTTCCAGTCACAGCAGTGGAGGAGTGTGGGGCTTGTTACAGAGGGGTCTCTTGACCTCACAGTACTGGGCCTTGGAACAGTCTGCCAGATAGAAATGAGCTTTGGGCTGACTACTCCTGAGAAATTTTTTGAATGCATTGGTTAAAAGTGACTGAATGTGCATGAGTTTTGTTGGAAAGGCCTCTTCGTTTGCCGTTGTTAGTGCATTAGTGACATAATGGGATTTTTATTATTTTAGTTGAACAGTGTAATTTATCTTTCTTCCACTAGATGGCCCAAGCACACTTCCAAATACCCCATGAGAACTGCAACTTAATTAATTTTTAAAATAAATTCGTGTGATTTTAACTGAAGTTAAAATTCTGCATCATGAAGCATACACAGACTTTGGTGATGCTTTGTGCTTGTTTAAGATACAAGCACTGTATATCAACGGAGAGAGTGTTGGTTAATGTAAGTAATACGTGGTAATGAAGGTTTATGTTTTCCCTTGATTAGAACATTTCTTATTGAGTGTAGTACAAGGCTGTTTATTTTTGCATTGAGATGAGAACTGGTGTACTGGCACTGACAGTGTGTTCAACAGTAATTGTTCAGAGAGGCTCTGAAACTGTGTTGATCTCGGGCTGCAGTTTGTCCCTGACATCTCCTGGGAGTGAGTTGCTGTATTTTGCAGGCCACCATAATTGATTTTGGTTTTTTGGTGACTTGATTTTTGCTACGTAGGGTTTTTGTAACAACTTTGCAGGTTGTTTCACTGGTGTACAGGTTGTTTCACTGGTGTACTATTTGGGTTCTGAATAGGTGTGTTGTTAAATGTATGGACTGTAATTAATCTATTTTTGTTGTCTAAGAGACATCAAGTATAAGCTTGTCATCATGACCGTCTTTTTGGTTAGTGGAGAAAGAAAGGTGTACACTGAAGGCAGCTCTTGCTGTGAGTGTGGTTGGACACTGGAATGAGGCTGAAGAAGTGGTGGGATGTTCATCCATAGAGAGACAATCAAAACTCAACAAAACCGAGCCTTGAGCCAGCTCAGGGTCCCCTCCAGCCTCAATTATTCTGCAATTCCAAAAGGAGATTTTATTTGTTGCTTTGCTCTACTGCTGTTTAAAACAAAATTGAATACGTGGAAAAGGGATAGTTGCCTTTCTGAACTAGTTCATAACTTCAGTATTTTGCATTGAGTGCCAGCTTTCCTCTTGCTTCTGAGGACCTTGATGTGGTGGTATTAGACCAACAGTAAAAGTATGTGTGTCTGCATGTGCTCTTTTCCTTCTTGAATTGCAATCCTCAATGGGGGCAAAAAAAAGAAGCTATATTGCTTCATTTCACTGCTGCATTTGCCAAATGCCATCTCTGTCCTGTTATTAGTTTATATCGTTATTCCCAGTGTCTCTCTGTAACAGGGATGATAGATTTTCTCTTTTTCTTTTCCTCAGGATCTTTCCTAGATTTTCTCTTCTGCTCTTCAAACAGCAGTTGTCCCTTCCTCTGCATCTGACTGTGATCCTATTTTTCATTCCTTTTCTCATTGTCCTGTCCTGCAACCTTCCTACTTCTCTTCTCTTTTCTGGCTGGAGACAAATCAACATGTCCATGTGTACTAGAAGGATGGACATAAATGGAGTATTTTGGTGAAAGGGATGTTGCTGCCTGCAGTCAGTTCTATAGACAAAGAGTTATAATCTGCTTGGATTCATGGCCCTACTGATACATGTTGAAGTTCTCCATTTGCAGTATTTTGGTCTTCCTTTCTAATTTTTTCCAAAGTCCATAGCTTTCAGTGTATTGAGCAATGGACCACAGAGAGTTTACCAGTTGAGCCAGAGACAGAGAAGTTTTTAAATACATTGTTTTTGTGATAGATGTGTATGTTTAAGAGGATTTCTTTCCAGAAGTGATATATTCTACCTTTGTGTAGGAAATTGGCTGTCTGGCCTTGCAACTGCTGTTATGAGTAAACCAGACTTTACTTTGCATGTGACTGGAAACTAAACTGATGAAAGCAATTCCCTTCTTAGCAACCTGGTAGTGGAAAACATAGCTAGAGGACTAAAATGTTAATGATATGTCTTGGTTAGCAGCATGTGTTATGGTTTAGTTCAGATTTTTTTTTTACTGAACAAATTTAATAGCAAGTATGAAATAGAGTGGGCTTAAAAATGTGTATTTCTAGGAAATCTTTGATGTAACAGAAACAGATAGATGTCATTTGTCTACCTGTATTTTGGCATGCTCTGTGTTATATGGAACTTGGCTGTAAGAGGATGTTATCTAATCACAATGGGAGGGTTTTTCAGCTGGTATCTCAGTCATGTCTCAAAACTTTGCTTGGTAACTACAGACAGTTGAAGCAGGTAGTAATATTTGTTTTCAGGCAAACACTTCATACATCTGGTGTATGTAGTACAATAATATGCTCGTTGTGTTGTTTTGCAGCCGGGAATACAGAAATTATACTTTAGGGTGAACAAAAATAGTGATGGACAAGATGTCAGGAAGGTGTTGTGTTTCATGTCTATCTCAATGCATTTACATAGTGGTACCTCTTAAATACATGTGGGCATTTTGGGTGAGTGGATGCAGTGCCTTTGGGTGTGTGACAAGGCAACCACGATGTTGTAGTACCCTTGGAAAGCTGGACAAAGCTGCAGAAGGTTGCAGAATCAGGTGAGAGCTTCTAAACCACCTTCTGCTATAAGAAATGTGCATCCAGTTCAGTTTAAAATTTAACTTTACAGCTGCTGTGGTTACAGCATTGTAATACTGAAATCTCCACCCCAGTATCACTTCTGTTTGGCTGGCAAAAGTAATTCTAAAATCAAGCTGCTTATTGTGATCAGCAAAGCTCATTCCCGTGGCTAGAATGCCAGCTCCAATTTTTGAACTTTTCAGAGTAGTTCAGAAATATTAATTGAAAAAAAGAACAGCATGTATGGACTTAAAATAGTATTAATGTTTTTGTTTTGCCTTTATATTCCTGTATGTCCCTCACTAGATGTCACTAGTAGATTTGGGAAAGAAACTTTTAGAAGCTGCACGAGCAGGTCAAGATGATGAAGTTCGCATTTTGATGGCAAATGGAGCACCTTTTACCACAGACTGGGTAATGAAAACTTTTGCAGTGTTTGGTAGATCATCTTACTTTTCTCACGTGAACAAGAAAATAGTACTGTTACAATTATGCATTTATATTGCAATTCTTCTTGGAATTCTGCAGTCACATCATCTAATGTCTAATTTGAAATTAAAATTACCTGTTTCTTCATATAACCTCCTACTGATTTTATAACAGACTGTGAATGAGCTCATTCTGGTGACTTTTAAGATGAACTTTGGAGTTGTTAATGGGAGAAAGCAATAATCATCCTCCTAGTTATTGTGTTTATGCATTTAGTATAGTAAGAGGTCTGAATTATGAAAGCAGTCCCAACTGCCTAATGTGTGCAGCTGAGAGTTCCCTGATACAGGGGCTCTGAGTTGTCTTTCAGAGGTGCATATTTTTGAATAGGTTGTATAGAGAGGTCAGGTACCTAAAATTCCCAGGGTATTTATAAGCTCTTAAGAGCCTTAATCTGCTTAGTGACCTAACTTTCAAATTAACTCTGTTTTTGAGGAGGAGATTGGACTTAAGTGACTTCCAATGTTGTTATGGTGTGACCAACCTTAAAAATGGGGTTAGGCCCCTTGAAATGTTACACTTCATAAAGACAGAAAAAACACAGAAAAAAAGGAAACAACAACAAACTTTCCCTCCTCCTCTTCATATTCTGTGAAAGCCCCAACAGCTGCTTTCCTTGAGACTGCAAGGGAGAATGATTTTTAAGTGCTGGCTTGACACCTGGGTTTGATAGCTCCAGAATAAGAAGAAATACTTCATACTGGCATCTGTTAAAACTCCACATTTTCTATTACATTCCAGCTGGGAACATCTCCTCTTCATCTAGCAGCACAGTATGGACACTACTCAACCACGGAGGTGTTGCTGCGAGCAGGTGTGAGTCGGGATGCCAGAACCAAAGTGGACAGAACTCCATTACATATGGCAGCATCAGAAGGCCATGCCAGCATAGTAGAAGTCTTACTTAAGGTGAGCACTTCTGAAACAAGTCTGAGATGGGAATATTGCAATGGTTTACCATCAGATATTTGCAATTTTCTTTTAGTCATGAAACTAAGATTGAAATTACATCGACAGTTACACTGTGTGCGTTGGGAGCTTTGTTTTCCTGTTAAGCTGTAATTTATTTTAGCATTAAAATCATCAGGATTTCAGGTGAATTATTCACTGCTATTTCAAAATAAGTCTACTCCCTAATTTGACATTGTGTTTAGTAAGAGATTTTAGAACTGAGATATGTTTTAGGGACTCTTTAATCCTTTGAAGTAAATACTTTATTTGGTAGTTAGATTGAAGTACTTTTAATGAACTTGTAAATGTAAGATAACAAGGCATTCCTGGTCAGAAAGACAATTTTGGGCTTCATTCTGGTCAGATACTTCTAATGACATAGTTTATGCAATGATCTTGTTTGTAGCATGGTGCTGATGTCAATGCCAAGGACATGCTCAAAATGACTGCACTTCACTGGGCTGCTGAGCATCACCACCAAGAAGTTGTAGAACTCTTGATAAAGTATGGAGCAGATGTTCATGCTCAGAGTAAATTTTGCAAAACAGCATTAGATATTGCAGTAGACAACGGGAATGAAGACATTGCAGAAATATTACAGGTAACTTTTGATTCCTGTACTTGATTACATACGTCATAAACTAAGCTTTTAATATAGCAGTTGTGACACTATATAATGACTGATAATGCCAAACTCCAGTCTAGTTCACTACATGGAGATGAGATCTATGTTAGTAAACATTACTTGGCTGAAGAACATTTTCATCACCTACAAAATCAAGGATATGTATCCTTTATTTTCTTAAATTTCAGTGTTGTAATACACAGAACAAGGTGGCCTCTTCACAACTGAGGTGTGAAAAATTAACTCCCTACTCTGACAGTATGTTTTGACTATACCCTGGTGTTCAGTTAGCTTCCTATGTGGATATTAATCTCCTAACAATTGGAGATCAAGACAGGAGAGAAGAGATGACAATTTTTTCAGAAGCAGAAAAGCTAGGATTGAATTGTTGGAGAAGTGATTGTGATCAGGATTATAATAGATACTTCCATGGAAATGTGTGCTCACTGTTCAAAACTGTTGTTAAAGGCAAAATAAGTGATAAGCATTATTGAGAAAATAATAGAAAGCAAATGAAAAATACCATTATGCCACTGTATAAATCTGTTGCTTCCCTACATCTTGAATTGTCTGAACTTCTGATCTGTCCCTTTAGCCTGCTCTTCGTTGCAGAAAGGGTAAAGAGAAGTTAATAATAATTCAAAGAAAGACAAAAAGGACACTGCCATGTACATTTCGTAGCAGTTGCTGAGCTGTCAGAGCAGATTTTCATGGCCTGTGTCTGCCCCAGCAGTCTTGGTTCTTCAGGCTTCTGTTTTAGATACATGAGCTTGTATATCTGCAAAAGGACCTTGTCCTCTTTATTTAGAGTAAATGGTAGGGAGAAGCAGTGGTGTGTTGTTACACTTTTTGTCTTTAGATTTCTGCCAAAAAGACCCCGTTTATGTACTTGGAGACTTGACATGATGTGTGTGTATTGCATGAGTATAATGAGGGAGATCCTCCCTGTTTGTGTGGAATGGCAGTAACTGTAGCTCTTACACAAGGCAAATGACTGCTTTACACCTGCAGTTGAAATGATATGATTGCCTTTGTGTCCTAGATTGCAATGCAGAACCAAATCAACACAAACCCAGAGAGTCCGGACACTGTGACGATACACGCAGCAACACCACAGTTCATCATTGGACCTGGAGGGGTGGTGAACCTAACAGGTCTGGTATCTTCTGCAATTACATCCAATGGAACAGGTATTCAGATGCCTATAGGATAGCCACTAGGATTTTATGCTTTGATTTTCACACTTAGTGAAAAGCTTTGAGGAAAAACAGTGGTAAGAATAGTTACCATGTTCCTCTTCAGTGTTTTTTATGTGTTGTAAATACATATGTGCCTAAAACAGCAATCTTCACAGAGCTAAATTATCAGAAGTTGTACTTGCCTAACAAACAGCTTCAGAATAGCACCTAGGTTCAGCAGAATGCTGCTGAAAATTGTGTGTTAGAAGCTTCAGTGCGATAATAATTTAGTGGTTTTAAATTTATCAGCTAACTTTTTTTCATTCTACTAGATGAAACAGGAGTGTCTGCTGTACAGTTTGGAAATTCATCAACATCAGTATTAGCTACGTTGGCAGCTTTAGCAGAAGCATCAGCTCCACTGTCTAATTCTTCAGAAACACCAGGTTAGAAAGCATTTAACCTAATGTAATAATTAAAAGTACATAAAATTCAACTTTCCTGTGGCACATAAAGTGGTGTGGTAAATAGTGCTTATATGGATATAGGTACAAAAGGAGAGCAAGGAATGAAAAATGACCATCTTTATGGGACTGTTTTTCTTTTATATGGAGTAGCTTCTCTTTAGACAAAATCTCCACTTTTCTTTCAAGGTTTGAAGAAGTCCTTGCAATGTTTCCTTCCAGAGCTAAAACCCCAATATTGAATTTGAAACAGAAAAAGATCAGAGCTGTTTGCCACAGCACCTAGTATTGGCACTTGCAACTGGGACTTTTCTGTGACAGTGGTCTTTCTTACTGCTGAGCCTGTGCTTGGGAGCCAAATCAAATTCAGTACACCACCACTTATTCATGAGGGACTTGCTGTTTTGGTTTACTGAATAAACACTGTGAATGTTTAAGCAGTGCTATAGGACAGTGATCTCTGAACATAAAGATCTTCAGAAGACAATGACTGCAGTCATTATTTAAACTACAGAGTGATTTTTCTGTGTATGTTATATTGTAATTAATTTAAAAGATGAAAGCTTCAGGGTTTTATCTGCCTTCTCTCATCTTGAACCTCACAACACAGATCTATAGGGTTTTAATTTCATCTTGGTAGATAGAAAGCATTCTATTGTCTGTTATTTTAATCAAAGGCTTTGCTTTTACCCTGACAAATTGAAAATAAAATACAGAGTTAGTGTGCTTGAATTTCTTTGATTGTGTTACTAGTGATCTTGCTCTTTGTCTCAGTATCTTGTTGTTTTAAAAATAAAGGTGGTAGCACAAGACCTGAGTTGCAGCATATAGTGCAAGCTGTGGCATATGAAGTTATATACATAAAATGCTTGTTTTACTTTTTAAGCTTTATCTTTCTTCTTCAAATATGTAAAAATGTCAGCTTTAGTCTTGTTTCATACTTTATATAATAAAGTTGTGGGTGTGTTTGAAGTAGTGATGTAGTACAGACAAAGCTCTGAGATTCTGTAGAGGTCCTTCAGTTTTTTACCATCTTAAAAACCGTTGTGTTAAGCAGAGAAATCTGGGCTGGGTCCTGATGTATGGGTGGCAAGGCATTGGTTGAGAAGTAGTTTCAAGGTAGTATTTCAAGTTTAATTTTTTTTTTTTAATTCCACTATTAGTGTAACTTAGTCCAGCTTATTTATTTATAAGTAAAAGTTATTTGTGTTCTTAAAAGTACCTCTTCTTGCTACCATGTTAATACGGAACCCAAAGCATCAATTTTGAGTGGGGTATATCTATTAGCAAAATGCAAAAAAAAAATTATTATATTGAGCAAGGTAGACTAGGACAGTGTTGCATGTATTTTTCAAAATGTGAGTGCTTTATGTTGGTCTGGTGAAAGATTTCTGTTAAAATATAATACACAGTAATGTATTAATTGAGGGAGGGTTAAATTTAAAAAGTTCTGGAAGAAATTTTTTCTCAGTTGTACCAAAATGCATTTGAAATTATAAAGTTTAATTTATAAACTGACTTAATTTCTTCACTAATCTGTTGATAGTTGTGGCCACAGAAGAAGTTGTGACTGCAGAATCTGTGGATGGGGCCATTCAGCAAGTTGTCAGTTCTGGAGGTCAGCAGGTTATTACTATAGTTACAGATGGCATTCAGCTGGGTAACCTGCATTCCATTCCAACCAGTGGAATAGGGCAACCCATCATTGTGACCATGCCAGATGGACAGCAAGGTGAGTGCAGACTTGTATGATTCCAGATTGAGGAACTGTTTTAGTTACAGTAATAATAATGACTTATTAGGTGCAAATAGCTTGGACAATTTTGTGTACATCCAAGAATTCTTATACTACAGAAGACTCAAACGTGAGCTACTGCAGTTCAGTGGGTTAACACATGTCAGCTGAGTCTCTGCATTAGGAGAGAGAATGGAAGAATTACTAAACTGTATGGAGCAGAAATGGGACATTTAAGGAAAAAGTGATAACTCCTTGCTTTGCCTTCAATAAGTTTGATTCTTGCAAACTTGTTAGGAAAACTAGAAGGTGGAGTAAAATGAAGCCTTCTTCCAATACTCATGCTGTTGCCTTGCTGGAAATGCAGTGGGGAGGTGAGGCTTGGATTTAGAAATCTGATGCATGAAGCAAGCTGTGCAAGTCCCATGGAGTGTGTTCTTAACAGGACAAATGTCAAGTTTTAGAGCAGCAGTGACAGAACCAGTGAAGCCAGGGTGACACAAACGTTACTGTTGGGCCATGTGTACTTTGTAGAAGCTGCTAGTATAAGTGCTATTTTGTGATGTGTGTGTTTTGGGTGATTTCTTTTAAGGATGCTCTGTCACCACTACTTAGATAAAAATGACTCCTCCTCTGGTTTCTTCATAAGAACTGGCAGCGTGAAGCTTGGAGAGTTGTACACTGAAGACTGTAGATCTCACTAACGAGGAATTTTAAAATTCTTTAGTAGTGTACAAGCAGCTAAAATTTTAGTAAATTTTCACCATACTGACTTCATAATGCACTTTATTATATAGCTGTGTTTTCAGAAGGAAACGTCTCTGCATTTTATTGCTGTTAATAAAATTACTTAAGTAATATGAGTTTTATATAGTGCAAATATTGTTTGAAGTAAATATGTTTACACGTACAAATATGTTTTCAGTATTAACAGTCCCAGCAACAGACATTGCTGAAGAAACTGTGATAAGTGAAGAACCGCCGATGAAGAGACAGTGCATTGAGATTGTTGAAAATCGTGTGGAGTCTGCAGAAATAGAAGTAAGGAGTATATTACATGATCTGTGTTAAACAGTGTTCAGCACTGAGTATCTGGTTGTGGTTCAGGTTAATTTCTGTGTTACCACAGAAGGAAGTGTGTGAAACAATAACTTGTTCAGTCTCTCCTGTTACTGAAAGTTGTCTTTTACAAAGTTGTAAAAAGAAAACAGGAGGGCTATTTGCTTCATCCTGTGGTCATGCATGTAGAAGTGACACTTGTTTAAGTGTATGATAATGTAAATTTTTTTGTTTTTACTCTAAGGTCACTGACTGGTTTTTAAATTTGGGCACCGATATATTATCGAGTGACTCGACTCTTTCCGCTGGGGATGAATGAGGGAACTGTATCCTCATCTTTCTGTTACAGCCACATGCTTGTCCTGATTGTGAGATCATATTTTTAGCAATGTTTCCTTTCCATTCATGATATCTAGATAACTGTTGATGGAAGTGTGAAACAGTAAGATTCTGTGTTTGTCTATTTTTATCTGTATGTCATCCCCTGCCGTTTTTTTTAATTCCGAAGCAATTTACTATTACACAACTTTGCACTATCCATTTTTTTTTAAACTATAGTGCAAAAGACCTACAACTGTGGAGAGTGCTTTTCTTTTTATATGACAAATAGCTGTAGCCATTCAATTTAAAAATGTAGCTTTTTTTATATTAGCCACAATAGGTCAACCATCTCATTCCTTCTCCTGTTACTTCTAACTGTGCTGACCAGTTTTGGTCAAAACGTTATGAAAATTGCTGTCTACTTTGACTAGACTGTAAGTTCTCATTTTGTCAGCTCCATGATATTTCATTTATCTAACATTGTAGTCTCCAACTTCTGTTCATATTATCAAATTGTGCCTAATTGAATACTTTTTGTTGTACAGTGTGTACTGTATGTTACCCATACCTAATAACAATAATTACCATCTCTCATCTCTTGCTTTCCCTGTCCCTAAGTTGTCGCATCAAATACTTTTGGCCTCTGCAGCTTTGTGGTCATTACAGATTATCCCGACAGTTGAAATTTTCTTGCTGCATTTTTTAAAGTGTATGACTGTTACAATAAAAGCATTTCTTTGTTCACACTTTTAAAAATCTGCCTGAATTATTCGTAAAGGAAATTATGTTTCCTTAAGTATTTTAATAATTCTGTTAGGCGAATTTAAAAAAATACAGATTAGTTAAGGAATAAATTGATCTGTTCCTGATTAGAGATAGTTGGTATAACAGTACCAATAATTCTTTTAAGGAGATTACCAGTTGCAATTTTATATGTTGAACACATTTCTCAAATATAAAAAGAGGTTGGTTTAAATGAGTTATTTTGCCTGTTACTTTTAAGTGCAAGTTTTGATGACTGACCTTTCCCTGCCTGTACAACTGGAATTGCAGATCTCTGCCTCTGTGTGGAGGACAGTTAACTTCAGGGACCTTATCGTGGTTCACAGGGGTATGGTGCTACCTTGCTTTGGTAGCAGTGACATTAAAGAAGTGCACGTGAAGTCGCTTTACTTCAAATTTCTTTGTCACAGGCAGTGGTAGATACTTGAATTTGGAGAGAGTGGGCCCCCTCTCCTCATTAAATTATTTTTAAAATATTTTAAAATATAGAAATAAAGAAAACCTTAATTATTTGGTTTCTTTGCCTCACACTGATTCATTCCTTTATTTCATTATAAAGAGTTAATTCAAGGCTGAATCCTTTCTTCAGCTGTTTTAAATTCATAGTGTGTGAACAGTTAACTGTAGTTTCAAAGTTTCTGTAAGTTGAAAATCCTCCCATTCATGTGAAGTAACAAATTTTCCTCTGAAAGTATTGTGAAATGACTAAAGCGGTAGTGGTGTTTTTAAATTCTCTTTTCCAGGTCTGTTAAGTTCAAACATTTTGGCTCATTTTGAAGAGTGATAGTTTTCCTAAGCAGTTGGATATTTTAAACATGGGATGGCAGCAAAAAAACCCTGTCACGCAGATACTCTGTTTTTCATTTCATGCATAATTCATTAATGTACAGTGATTTTTATTTTCATTCTTTAATTTGACTGTTTTTCACATGATGTATGTTTGAAAGGTGACACACACACATTAGAACCAGGACAATAATTTCACTAGACTAAAAAATAATCATAAACTAATTCTCTTAGTGAATTCATATCCCTGGTTTTCTCTGTTGTTCAAAAGAGTGGTTTGGTTATTTTAGTTATGGGCTTTCCTGTTGTCAATATTTAGACTGTTAAGAAAAGTCACATGTAATGAAGAAAATTCCCAGATAAAATGGAAGATTGCTTAAGGGCACTGAGGATCCTCTAATTTGATTTTTACCTGGGTAGGTGTTTATATGATACAAAAGGACTTCAGATCTTTAGAAAGCTTTCAGTTGTGTTCTAAAGAATGTCCCAAGAACACTGTCTGGGTTTGATTAAACTAACATCAGATACTATTCTAGATGTCAAAGTTAAGGAACCACTTTTCACTGAGTTCACTGTAGATAATTGCTCCTCTGCAAGTGTTGGGTTCTTTCCTCTGCTGTCACACAGTATACTTGGCCTCAGTTCCTTAACTCATTCTGTTTGTGTTGGGACAGTAAAAGGTACTCCTGTTAGCTGCTGGACTAATCTACATGCTTTGAATTGCTAGTCTGCCTAGAAGATACTGGTTTTATCTTGGCCTTGCCCTTTGAGACTGGGGTTTTTCCTTTTTTTTTTATCCCGTCCTTAATATGCTATACTACTTGTGGGTACACAGCTCTAGTTCTCTCTTCTCTGGGAAATACTCTTAAGATGTGGTCTGAGAACCTCTCCACCCCCAAATGTTTGCAGGGTGCACACACTCCATAGCAGTGATGGCCTCTTGCTGTTTGTAATGCACTGCAGAACTACTGGCTGCTGAGATACCAATGGTTCTTATTCTACTGCAGCCCAGTAGATAGAGCAGCTTTGCTTCGTGGCAGTATTAGTTTTCTGATGGTTTTTATGAGACAAATTCATGGGATAGATAATGCCCAGCTCATTGTATCCCAGCCCTCCAAAGGCTGCTTTCCATATGTAGTAGGATCAGCTGTTTTGACTGCTTCTTTGACAATTGTCTTGTAGCTCTTTGCACCAACACTCTGTTCCACGTGACTGTTTTATGTAAGCTGTTGGCTCCCCTCATACTACACAGATAACCTATGGCAGTAGCAGTGCATTTTGCTTGGACTGGTGCTGGAACATTGTTGGTGTGTTTCAGATCCTCTGAGTTGTAGGCTCTACTGTTCATGTGGCATCTGTCAGTCTAGTTGCTGCCTGGATTGACTGCTCGTAGAGCAGAATGCAGATTTTCAGAGGTGGAAGCTGAACTTCCTTTTCAAATAAAGCAAGCAAGACCAGATGAGCTCTCATTTGATTAGTGTATGCTTCAAATGAAGCAAACCCCAGCTTGCTGCCTTCAGCTCTTAAAGCCCTTTTGAAAAAGAAGTTGCACTTACTGTTCTGTATTCTAGCCAGCCTTTATAACCTATTAATAACATCTCTCCTTCACCTGTTGTTTTTGCTGTACAGGTGCTGCTGTTAGGAATGATCTGATCACCTGTGTCATTGTATTTCAGCACATTCAGCACAGCATGTGACTGCTAAATGTGACTGTGACAAGTACTGAGAACAGTAGTGAGTTGAAGGGAGGCAGAGTATTTTGTATTTTTCTGACCATGAGAATGTGTGAGTGCATCAGAGATGAAGAATAGGGATGCTGTTATGGGAGTGGGGGGGAGGCAAAACTTCTAACAGCTGTTTGAGGTATTAAATGGGAATGTGGTACTGAACTGCTGGGGTGGGAATAAGCTGAAAAGGCAACTTATTTTCACTGGGCCTCAGTTTTTTGATAAGTTTTGTTTTTCTGGGAGATGGCTTGCTTCTCTGACAGCCTTCCTTCCTGCTCCTGTTTAACGACTACAGTGGAAAGAATGATATTTAAATCTAATACTACCTTACTCATAAAGTATGATGCACTTTAATGAAATTGTATTTGGTTGAAGATCAAAACAAAACTATTTCCCAAGCAAATTGCTTTTTCAATTGGGCTCAGTGCAGCATCAGACAAAATGACAGTACCTACATCACTGGAGATGGAAATGCATTCTCCTTAGTTCCTAAGGCAGCTTCAGAGGAAGTGGCATTTCCCATATGATTTTGCTTGGAAACTATTTTATACCCATTCCCAACAAACTTGTATACAGAACTTCTCCAATTACTTCAGTAAGGATTTTTTCAGTTACTGCTTTTGAATTGAAAAACCTTATCTGGCTAAATGCCTGTTAATTCATAAAGATGTGATATCCTTGGGGATGTAATTATAACTCTGGATTGCATTGAATCAATCACTGTTTATAGAGACCAGTGAGATGTGTATTTTGGTCAGTGGGCAGCTGACCAGCACAAAGAGCTGTTAGGTAGCAGTTTTTCATTATATTATCTGATTAGAAATAAAACAACAAGGGACAATTTTGTTAGATTGAATTCCAATTTTAAAAAGTAACAAAGGGAATTGAATCATTGGAGAAATGTTAATATATTATGCGAATATTTAATCACCATGCTTCCACTTTTTTTATTTAGCTCTTTTTTGATGAAGACTTGAGTGGTACCTTTGCAGCTCAATAGACTCAGGTTTACTGTATCCACAGCTGAAACCTTGTTGTGGGGAGTTGTCTGGTGTTATAATTCATGTCTGATTTGCACAGCAGCATTCATACAGGTCTGCCTGAGTAAGAACTGAACAGTTCCTACTTGATACCCTAACACTTGAGCTGCATGTAAAGGAAAAGTATTTGCCTGTTTAACTTCTATTTGATACTTATTTGACACAAAGTATTGCTGGTTCTGTTTCTAATAGGAAAGAGAAACTCTTCAGAAACAGCTGGATGAGGCAAACAGAGAAGCACAAAAATACCGTCAGCAGCTTCTAAAGAAGGAACAAGAAGCAGAGGCCTATCGGCAGAAGTTAGAGGCAATGAACCGCCTCCAGACTAATAAAGAAGCTGTTTAATAAAAAATGAACACACTGCAAAGCCTGTTACTTTCAAAAACCTGCAGTACAATCTTGAACTGTACACTATATAGGTACAGACATGGGATTTCATGATAGAGAAGATGCTACAAGTTGATAACTGGACTTAAGCCGTGAGCTCTGATTAATTTCTTGTAACATAAAAACTCTGAATTTAGAAATTGTGAAAAGTATTTAAAATGAAATACTGTAAATAGTTGGTTTTTTTACAGTTTCAAAATAAGTTGATAAATCTTTTTGAAGGGATCCAGAAACATGAAAAGCCAATGTTTTTGTGAAATTTTTGATTTTAGTATGAATCTACTTCTGAAAAACAGAACAGTTTTAAGGGTGATGTTGATTTAAGCTTGAAAATTGATTATGTGACAAAATTAATTAACAGTTATTTCTACATGATAACAACTCAAACAACTTCTCTGAATAAGACATTTCCAGGTGGAAATCTTTGTACAGCTTTAAGTAGTTGTCTCAGATTCTCTGAAAACCATTTTTGGTTTTTTTTTATTTTAGGTGGTGAAATTTTTATATTTAATTTCAGATATATCCAAGTAGATTTACATGTATATGAAGCTAATATTTTTTAAACTTTTCAGTTTGTACATATGCTGCATGTTTTTATAATTTCTACACATACATCTTGCATAGGTATTTTTCAGCAAAGATGAGAAAAATTATGAGAAAAATGTTTAGCCTATAGGTCATTTGAAGTAAGCTAGCAGCCAGTTTTATCGTGGATGGTATATTTCTTGGAAGAATGTAATTTGTAATTAAGAAGAACAAAAAAGAATCTTAATTTACATATTAAGAGGCAAAATTTGGTAGTGGAGGCATTGAAACTTCACTTTGTGTGTCTTACAATTTTCCTGTACAAACATTTTAAAGTTCAGTAATGAATAGAAAAGAATGTCTCCACTGGAACACAAATAGTAGTTATTTTAGAATATTCCTATTGATCTCTCTTCCCCAATAGCCTTGAAATTACTTCAGTGATACATTTTTTTCTGAACAGACTTTTGCATTTTAATTATGCAATTGGACAAGTAATTTTTTTATGTTGTAGTGATGCTCTTCCTACCCAGCATCATTGTTCCTCACTGTGATACTGTGTTTGTGTGTGTCTGTGCAGTGATCTATTATGCTTAAAATTTATATGGCACGTTACATCTTCAGCGCATTGTAAAATCTTTTAAAGAACCCTTTCCTATACTACCTGAGGCAGGTAAGTGTTATTGTCTCAATTTTATAACTGGTATAAATGCAACACAAGGGAGTGGTAAATGACTGGCTTAACACCACATGAACCTGTGGTCACCTGGGAATGGATCTCAGGAGTTCCTGGCTTCTAGTCCTGTGCTTAGACTGAGCTGCCTTAAGACTGTTCAGTGCTGTGTTACATTAAATTTTGAACTACTGTGCAGATTCGTTTTTTGTAAGATAAAATTCTTTGTGCTTTGCTTTGTTGTTCCATGTTCACTGCTTTTATGGAATTGTTTATATAAACTTAAGCAAAAAGTCTGGTTTATCTATACTGTACACGGAAGAATTACCCTTAAAACTGTACTCTGGCCTACTTTTTCTATTTTACAATTAAATATCTTTTCCACATATGTATAGTGTAGAATCAATTCCATTTCAGTTGTTTTGTGTATGCATTAGAAGGTTAAAGCCTCTCTGTTGGGCACTTGGAGAAACATGAAGAAACAGTTTTAGGCTTAGAATGGCCTTATGGGTTGGGAGGGAGGAGTGGGCAGAGAATTGCATTGTACTGTACAAAACTTTGTCAAACAGGTCAAAATTTGACTTGAGTATATAGAATTGGCAGTTTGGAAAAAATTCTAATATCCTGGTGTCATTACATAGTTGATAAATTTGATCCTGATTGGCAGATTTGACCTAAAAATAATCAAAAGATAATAAAAATGAAAAACCCAGTGGTGAGTTTTAGAAGAACTATTTTCAAGGATATAATTAGGCTGGTACTAGGACTTGAAGAAAGCCTTGTGCAGTGATTACCTGGAAATTGCTCTGTTTTAGGGATGTTTTCCGGAACTGTCCATAACGTCACTAGCAAATGCAGAAACCAGTTAGTCGAGATAAATGTGCTGCTTAGGCATTGTTCCAATTGAATTATTCCGTGATCAAAGTAATGTTTGTGTCCTCACATCCCACAAAATTGATGACAGTGTAATCTCTGTGAGTTCTTAATGATGATAAGAGTCTCAGTCTGAGTGGTGAGAGTGGTAACGTTCACATCCAAATGGAGAGTTTCCCACGGTTGGGACAGCACAGACCTTTGTAGCAAATAATGAAATGAACCTTTTCTAATCATTCTGTTTCCTGTGAGCAAATATTCTATTCCTCATTGTCCATAATGAAATCCTAGTAAGTGCAGGGTAGCTATAACAAAACCTTAATCACCAGCAATATTTACCCTACCTGTGATTCATTATCATCTATTTTCTAGTTCTGAACAGGACCTGCTGTTCGTTCTCTTCTGCACAGAACAAGAGACCAAGCTGATGAAACTGTCACCTTTGAGCAAGGCGTAGGGTATATGTCACATGAAATATTTATTGTATAGTTTAGCTCTGAAAACATTGTTAAAAATATTGTTCCTTATTTGCTGTTCCAAAGTAAAAACAAAATGTAGTTACCTACCATCTGTTTCTTTGAACAGATGTCCATATATTTTAAGTATTAGTTACTTTAATGAGCTAGAATTACAGTTCTGGGGAACTTTGGGCTCTTCTTGAGTTGGTCCCGTGCTTGATGCACCTTCTGACCTTCCTTGTTCCCCTTTATGAGATCATTTACAGTAAAGCCAAGAGAAGTAAATAAATTGATATGAAGTGTGTGGACAGCTTGTTACTTATCTCCTGATGTTTCCAGAGAAATGTGAGAAAACAGATTAATATGCATATAGTATTTTTTTCACTTCTTTTAATACCTTTTTATCAATTTGGATTTTTTTATTTCAGTACATTAATCTGATGTGTGTGTATCAGAGCATCTTTGTTATATCTAGAAAACAGTTCCTTCTCAAATATCTAATTGCAACAGGAACTAGGAAGGGTTTCACACTGTTCTGTAGATATTTTGCTGTGAGAACAATGTAACAGCTTTCTAGAACTATGAAAGCGTTTGGGCTGTGTTTGGGTACATGAGGCAGAGAATTCAAGCTGCTCTGGCAGCCAGTTCTCTTCTGTGTGATGAGAACAGCAAAACTGCTGTCGTGTATCAGATGAAGGCTCTGCCTGATCTGGTGTCCTGTCTCCAGCAGGACCTGCCCTGACCAGGAGCCCAAGGTATAGCAAAAATAGGGCAAGACTATATTGTACTGGTAGTAGTTTCTCTTCCTGGTGCTTAGTCCACAAATCCTACCTCTCTCTTTGACCAGGGCTACTTGGTACAGTGTACAGCAAGTGAAGACGGTAAGTGCTCAACAGTGAGTACAGTGTCTAAGGTTGTGCTGGCAGAGATAGGTCAGGATGTGTTTTCAGGCCCTAAAACTGGAACAAGGGGGAATCTACATGGCTGTCCTTTCAAACAGAACAATCCAGGTGGAGGACTTGGAGGAATTCTGGAAAGACAAGACCAGATCCCAGTTCTTATGCGTATCATATGTGAGGAAAGCAAGCATAATGAGGGGAAAAATATGCATTTTCCCAGCTCAGCAATCTAGGGTGATATCCATGGAGGAACATCACCCTGGTCTGTGTAACCTGCTCTGATCTGGAAAGGCGGGAAATCCACTGAGAAGATCATTGCTGCTTTGTATTGCAGTTCTGGAACTGGCAATAACTGTAAAGCCTTTCCTGTTAGCAGCACAGGACTGACAGCATAAAGACTGAAGATTTGTAGGGATGTAGGTATATTCTTATTGCTCTGGGAATTCTCAAAACAATTCTTAAAAAAACCTCCTTCCCTGTCTGCAGTGTCAAATTTGTTCTGTGCTGGTGCCTTGTTTTAATGACTAGCACAGTAGTTGGGTGTGCTGGTGTAGCATCTGCTGGCTTTTATTTGGTTTTGGAAGTTCTTGAGCTTTTTCTCTCCCACAAGTCTCCTTATAATATGCCTTATATTCACAATGTGGATTACTCTGAGACTTCTGAAAGATTGATTGAAAATGGGAAAGGGTTAGTGCAGAGGCAGCTCCTCTTAGCGATACGCTATCTTACACATCAAAAGGGCACAGATGAGAACATGAGAGATTGTAAAAGCCCTCAGTTGGGAGGAGTTAGATAAACACTCACCAATAACCTGCCTACGTTAAACCTTTTCCAGAATGCATGAGTCTGAGAGATAAAGGGAGCTATAAAGGGGGAAGCAGCCAGGAGGGCACCAGAGTGAACTGCCCACAGCTCCCGAGAGGTCGTGCCCCAGGTTTGGAGGTGCTTCTGTAAGGAATCAGTATGGAACCAGAGGAGTACAGACAGAGAGGTGAGTGATCCTTGGCTCTTGCAAATAGGTATCATTTGCTCATGGAGATCAACTATGGTAGGGCTGGGAGTGGTCCCCAAAATTAGGATGGGCTATATACTCTTTATTTGCACACATGTCCTTGAGACTTGGATCTGCTGAGGCTGAGACAAAAATGTGTCCCAGGATTAAGTGTAAATTAATGGATTTAGAGTCCATGGGTAGCTTAGCCTTTTTGGTCTTACTTTTAAGATAGTGTGGGAAAGCTGCAAAACTGTAATTCTGAATAAACTTGTGGTGAGGGTTTATGCACAGTGGCTTTTCCCCAGCTGACACTGTGGTACTGGTACAGTTCTGGAGATGGGGAACAAACTTTAGTTCTAGGGGTAGAGGAGATTGCCTTAAAAAGTGGAGAAGAGGTGTGGAGCTATGCAGCTGTTTTCAGAGGATGCAAAAGGGGGTATGCTATAAGTGACAAGGAAGTGTAGGGCATTATGAAAATTTAATTCCTGTGAAATGCAGTTTCAGTTAATTTTTAGGCAAGAAAGTCTAACCTCTCAGTAATCAAACAAACTGTACTTGTACCCTGACTGTGTTTTAAAGGTACATTTGAACTATTCAATGATGACACTGAAATAACCCTGTGAGTCTGTTCTGTCCCTATGAAGCCTGTTCTGGAAGCTGTGTCCCTGTGTTATTAGACGGGACCAGTAGGGTGTAGGAGGGAGGTCAGTTCCACTGGCTGTGCTGGGAGCAGTATTCCAATGGTAATGACAGATTGTGTGGAGTGCTGGTACTGCTAGGTAGTTTTCACATAATTGAAACTCAAAACATTGGTTTGCCTCTTCCAGGGAAAGAGATGGTGGATTACATTTGCCAGTACCTGAGCAATGTGAGAGAGAGACGGGTGACTCCTGATGTACAGCCAGGTTACATGAGAGCCCAGTTGCCGGATTCTGCCCCAATGGATCCAGACAGCTGGGACAACATCTTTGGAGATATAGAGAAGATTATTATGCCAGGGGTAAGCAATAAAGTGTAATCATGACAGGAAAAAACCTTTATTGCCTGGGGTGAACACCAAATCCTGGGAACGCACAGGTTCTGCAGAACATTTATCTAAATGAGTAAAGTACCCAAAAACGTAGAATAAGTCTTGTAGACATGTCCACAGAAGGATTCCAGGGATTACTGTTGTGTTCCTACCTATAGTTTTAGGGGATAGACTGAATGTATTTTTGATGTATGTTATACATTAACTCATATTTGCTTATAGGGAAACAAATTCACCAGTGTCAGAAATCATTAGCTTCACAATGTCTCTACCTGCTGCCCTGTATAATATCTATTTCAGAGATGTGGAGACTTGGGCACAGCAGTTGTGTACATGTAAGACCTGTCTCCTGTTCTTTGAATGTAAAGGTCTCGTTTCTCTTATACATAAGTACAGCAGATTCTGCTAAGGGAGTTCATATTATCAAATTACATGTTTTATGTAAGAAGTCCTTTCAGAGTCTATTCTCAAATTTTTTTTATAGATGTTTGCAGAAACTTGATCTGATGTAGGAGAGGTACCCACATTACACATGCTTATGCTGATGTCCCACATAGAAACTCCTTCAGGTGTATAGAGGGATTTATATAGTTGTAAATTGCTATGTGTAGCTACTTATTTTGTTTGACAAAATGAGCAAGAGCAACTTTGTTGGATGAATTCCCTTTATAAAGATAAACATTTTGATAAATCTTTCTGACTCTGGTCTTTTGAACATGGCACAACATTCTTTCCTGTTCAGAATCTTCGTCTGCCTGTTTAATTCAGATAAATGCTGTTGCTGTTTTTTGGAATTTATCTAACAACGACAGAGTGTTAGTGCTGCACTCCTGTTGATACTATCTCTGCAGCTTTCTGCTAGCAGATGTATAGTTGCACATGTTATGTTGCTGTGATCCTTTTCCATCACTTTAAAGATCTAATAATTGTTACATCTCATGCAGAATTTTGTGACATTTCCAGATTTAACTTGTATATAATTCTGTTCTAGGTAGTCCATTGGCAAAGTCCACACATGCATGCCTACTTTCCAGCTCTTACTTCCTGGCCTTCACTCCTTGGAGATATGTTGGCTGATGCAATTAACTGCTTGGGATTCACATGGGTAATTTTTTTTTTTGGCTATTTTAGATATTCATTTCCTGTGTGTAATATGCAAGAGCAGGTCATAGTCATTCTTTCTCGTTCTCTGAGTCAGTCTAATTATTTGCTTTAACCAACTGTATGTTGTTCACATAAGTGAAAAATTCACTTAAAAAAAAACCTCAAAAGGTTACCTATTAGTAAGAGGTGAATGAAGAAAATATACCGCTAGAAATGTCTGTATTCTAATTTTTTGCATATCCCACTGTGAGCATTGTTCCCCGTCATCCAATCTCAGTGCCAAGATTGTTACACAAGCACTGCAGGCAATAAAGCAACCACCATCCATTACTGCAGGCTAGATTGGGCTCCAGTCCAGTTCTCCTACTCCTTTGAGAGAACACATTTCCTATTTTTCCTCTTCTGAAAATAATTGTTTGGTGGCCTGGCCCAAAATACCTGAGTATTTTGTGTCCTCCTGCAGCAGCTACACAGCGCTACATTGTTATAACTCTGCTTACCTCAGTAGCCTTCTGAAGCCAATGTTCTCCCCAGTGGTGAAGTTGCCGAGATTTTTAGGTGTGTGTCTCTGTGTAAGAAAGCAGTAGAAGCTCATAAACCTATAAGAAACTGATGGGTATTGTCTCCATGTAGTTGTATCACATCAGCTCATTGCCTCCCTTAGCTCTCAGCTGGCAGAGGGATCAGTGCCCAGGGTGAATTACAGTCTGATTCTCTTTTTTTAAATTTTTCTAGGCCTCCAGCCCAGCCTGTACAGAACTGGAAATGAATGTGATGGATTGGTTGGCCAAAATGCTGGGACTTCCAGAGAAATTCCTGCACTACCATCCTGACAGTGTGGGTGGAGGAGTATTACAGGTAGGGGACATTAGAGGAGGTCTCATCAACGTTTTGTTTTCACTCAGCTGAATTTTCCTCTGGGTGATAGTTTTCCTAGAGGCAAAACCAACAAGATTCTCTGTGTGGGTCTAAATAGAGACAAATCCCAATTTGGCATTATTTTCCCAAATTTTAGTATAACGTAGAAGATTACAGAATAAGAATTGCTATTGCTTTTAGTGCTAACTGTGTTAGGGACGAGCAGCAGCTACTCTTGTGGCCTTTCTAAGGATAAATGAGAGTCAAACTTCATTTCTTCAGTCTGTTTCACATCACCAAATTATATACTAAAGTGATTCTTACATAATTAGAGAAGGAATACATGTCACTGTCCTTCTGCCACAGTCCTTAGCCACACAAAAAAATATTTTTCCTTTTTGTCATGTCTACTTTGTGTCTCTGAGAGGTGCAAGATCAAGGCCTGAACCTTACCTCCTTTTGGAAGGCTTAAGCAAGTATCCCATTGGAATCAGTGTTGAGGTTCTGTGTTGTTATAGGGGGTTTTGCTTACATTTGTAATTATATGGGAAATAGTACATTTTATCTGTGGAACAAAAGGAAAATATGATTTATTTACTCCCCCCAACTCAGTCCTGCACATTAAAAATATACAGCAGTTAAAAGGCTTTGTTTTGTGTTGCTGGCCCAGAGAGCTGCTCATCAGCTAATGACTTTCCACTGCATCACAGAAAAGCGGTAGTAGGAATAAAAGAGGGGGTGGGCAGCTGAGTACTGACTTCAGTGAATCCCTGGCAAGATAGCAATGAAGTAGCAGTTGCAGTAAATGAGCAATGTCTTTGCAGAGCACTGTGAGCGAATCCACCTTGGTTGCACTGCTAGCAGCAAGGAAGAACAAAATTCTGGAGATGAAGGTTTCCGAGCCAAACACCGATGAGTCCTCGCTCAATTCTCGCCTCATCGCTTATGCATCTGATCAGGTAGGTTCTTATGATTAGAAAGAAAACAAATGTGCTCCTACTGTCTCACTCAGACTATGCAATGTGAACTCGCATTTCTCTACCAAGAGGCAAACACGGGAATGCCTCACAAGCATGAACCAGTTCCTCTAATACCGCTTTCTGCAGATGAGGAAACGAAATCAGTGTGAGGCGAGGTTTTGTAGGGTCCTGGCAGTCCTCAGGAGGCTGTTCCACATGACTCATTTCTAAACTTCCTTCCTGTTTTTCACAAAGCCTTACCCCAGTAACTAGGTGCTGATCTCATGCTGCTCCAGCTCTTGTTTGTTCGCAGCCTCCTTCCACTCAGAACAGGCACGCTCAAGGCGCTGTTACCTCAGTGCTGCTCCTGGCTGTGGGCTCCACTCTGGGCCTCTGCCTGCAAACCTGTTCTGTCCCTGGGCTCCTGAACTAAACAATTGTATTTGCATGTGAAAACTGCAACAGGAGAGACTAAAAGGACTTTTTCTTATGAGGTGTTTTGGTCTACCCAGAAGTAAGCACACTTTGGGGGATTTATCTTCTTATGGCAGGGAGAAGGGAATAAACTGGGGATAATCTGTTTCTAGAGGCTCCTTTAAGCACTGAGTTTTGATAAATGGCCCTTCAAACACAAGATGAGGATGCCTATCACTATATTTTTTTTAGAGACAAGTACCCAAATAAATGAAGTGTTCCTTGGAATTACAGTGTACTATTTCTGATAGATACTTACAAAGAAGTCACTTTCAGACTTGTATTAATATGGATTACAATAAGGACATTACCTCTGCATTTCTTGTCACCACTATCTTTCATAAGGCCATAACTTACCACAGCTGTTCAACCTCAGAGCTTGAGTTCTTACTGGTTTTCTTATTTTAAAGGCACATTCTTCTGTAGAAAAGGCTGGGTTGATTTCCCTTGTGAAGATAAAATTTCTGCCTGTGGATGAGAACTTTTCCCTCAGAGGTGAAACTTTGAAGAAAGCCATTGCAGAAGACAAGAAGAAAGGCCTTGTGCCAGTCTTTGTATGTTCTACTTTCTGGCTGAGGGTATTGGCATAGTGTTGTATTCTTAATGTCAAGATAAAATTACATCTGAAACATTTCTTATTGTGTTAAAATACATCTACTGAATGTTAAAATGTATAGAAGGGTGTCTGTTTTATCGAATGTAAATTTTTAATGTTTTGACTGTCTACCTAACCTGCCCACTTTTAAAGTGCTGCATCCATTTATTAGAAAAACCCAATTCATCTTAACAGGTTCGGTTTCTTCTAGGTTTGTGCAACATTGGGTACAACTGGTGTCTGTGCTTTTGACAGTCTCTCAGAACTGGGTCCAATTTGTAAGTGTCTTTTTTTTTTCCTGATTTTAAACTACGAAAGCATATAAAAGATAGGGAGACTTTTGCATGCCAAAAACAAGGAGAGTAGAGACACTGATCAGCTGAGTTTTTCCGACATATCTCAGGGATTGCTGAAGTCAGTACAGGACTTTGCAGTGATTTCTGTAAGTTTTAGATTAGGATGCTAAAATACATTCTATTCAAGAGGGATGAAATTTGCCAACTGATAAATCTTTAATGTGGTTATTCAGGAAATACAGTCTGTGCAATACTGTTATAGGATGGATACATAAACATTTAACCTAGCAAAGGAGTTTTGAAAGTAGATTCTAGTAGGATATCCTTCGGATCCACCAGTTTTGTAGGTAAATTTGTCATGATTACAGATTCTGTTCCAGCATCAATTCTGCCCAGTAGCTTTGGAAGACCTGAGGTGCTTTCTCATATGGGTCAGATTGTGGCTTCCATTTCTGGGTCCTTTTTGCTTGCCCCACTGTCTTTGTTCTGGCTTTCTGCAACTGAGTGGTACTGGGGAATTTCATGTAGTAAAAGGGCAGGGGAGAGAAGTCAATCATTAAGAAGTCCCACTCACATCAAATATGAAATAATGAATTTTGTTTTAGTGTCCACCCGATTTCAGCATTATCCTATATTTTGGGGTTATGGATCCACAACTTTAGAATAAAACTAGATTGTCAATTGTTTGTCTGCCTCCTCCAAAAAAATGCACCTGTTTTTTTCAGAGAGGAGAGATTAAGCATGCACTTTGATTCCATACGTCCCTTACATAACAACAGTCTCAATTCCATCAGGTGATGCTGAGGGACTCTGGCTTCATATTGATGCTGCATATGCAGGAACAGCATTTGTATGTCCTGAATTTAGGCTGTTCTTGGATGGAATTGAATATGCAGATTCCTTTACTTTTAACCCTTCTAAATGGATGATGGTTCATTTTGACTGCACTGGATTTTGGTGAGTAAAGGCAAAATGCAAACACCACAACAAGAATAACATGCAAATTGCAAAGTATTTTTCTGCACTTATTTTGCTAAACCCCAGTTCCTTCTACAATTTATAGGGTTAAGGATAAATACAAATTACATCAAACCTTCAGTGTTAACCCTGTCTACCTCAGACATGCCAACTCAGGAGCTGCAATTGACTTCATGGTAAGTTATTATTTAAGTTGATATTTTATATTGCATATAAAATGTTGAAACAGACTGTGAAATTCCTCACACTCTGGAGCATGCTTATCTTATAGATGATCTGATTGCATAAATCCAATTATACTTAGATCCTAATACAAAGTAAATAATAAAACTTTAAAATGATCTGTGGTTATGAAGATTGATTATAAAATTGCTTTCAGATTGAAGTACTTAAGATTTTTACACAGATAGAGATCCAACCTTGCCTTTTTAATGAGAAGGGTCATTTCTGTGCATTGTGTTGCTGAAGTAATTCCTACTGATGCCATTTTGGCTGAATTTCTTGTATCTCTGACATGTAATAAAAGAGAGAAAGGAGTAAGCAATGGAAACACGATGCTCTGAAGCAGCAGAAGGCTGAATTACATTTTGCTTCAGATTAAGGTATTCATAGGAGAGCCAAGAGGCATTTCACTTCAGATACCTCTTACAGCAGATTTCAGTACAGTAATACAAAGGAATATTCACTGCCAATTATTTCTGCTATGATCTCACCCTAGTCCTGAAAAGATAATTGTTTTCTTGAAATCAATAGTGCTTTTCACTAGAGTGCAAGTGGAGGGAGGGATGGAAAAAAAAGATATTGAGTCCTTCTTGTGGTTAGATTGGATCCTGCATGTGATTGTGTAGCTGCCTAGGAATACTCCTTTATATGTTTTCTCGCTCTTTTGCTTGCAGTAGGTGCTACTTTGTCTGGAACTACCTACCCCTGTATGAACTCTTGTTCAGGATGGCACTTAAATATGCAAATTACAGGAACTGAAGTGAGCACTCAGTCTTAAAGTGTAAATGGCCACATCTTAAATTGATCATGCTCTTAAAATGCAAAAAGTTGTTGTTATTGGCTGGTAATTAACTTAAAATTCTGATCATGTCTAGGCCATAGATTAAGAGGAATAGCAAAAATATTATTTTTGCAAATAATTGAAAAATATGGAGATACAGTGTTTCTTTGATGGCTGTTTCCTAGGCTTAGCAGATTTTTGGTAGTATGACACTGTTTGTCTCAAAAGAGATTTCTGACCTGAACCTGAAGCAATAGGTGTAGCAGTGTAAGGGGAACCCTCCTTTCTGTTGTTTCTGCACTCATTGAGGCACTGTTGTGTTTTCACAGCACTGGCAGATTCCACTGAGTCGCCGATTCCGGTCTTTGAAGCTGTGGTTTGTGCTTCGCTCGTTTGGGGTGAAAAAGCTTCAAGCTCACGTCCGACATGTATGTGACTTAACAATGGAACCGTACATGTGTTATGTTCATTTCTTGGTAGCTGAGATTAATAAGTTCAGAGGTTCAAAGATGAGTAACAGAAATCCTCTGACATGCAAAGCTTGCATGTGAACACTAAACGTGTGCTCTTAAGTAATCTGTAAAGATTAACTGCGTAGACAAAACGTTTCCTGTCCTCTTCTTGGAAGCAATAGGCAATAGCAGGCGAGTTGGTAAGTCACAGCCTTCTACACGTTACTGAGTACTAATCTGTAGGAGCTTTCTTTGAGGCAGCTGTTTGAGAGGCAGGCTGTGATGGAAGGCTGAACCCACCACTGTGAAAATGTACAGGCTTAAGTCTCTGATGGAGAGTAAATACAAGGATCGTATTGTGGATCAATGGTTGCCACAAAAGGACTCCAATCTGAGAAGGCACATTGTTTTCAAATGTTCTTCTAGAAAATCCCTATGTATAGTCCAATTACTCATGTTCATTGTCAAGGGTTTGGGCAAGTAGACAGACTTTAAAATTCTTAACTTTGTTGTCATTCTTCTGTTTTCTGCTATTCGTGCATTGAAATGAAGTGTTTTAGTAAGGAAAGGAAGTCTTTTTAACTATCTAATTTAGTGTTTTACAGTGGGTTTGTGACAAACCAGTATATAACTTGGGTTATAGGTTAATTAAGTTATTCTTAATTATAGGGTACTGAAACAGCCAAATTCTTTGAGTCCTTGGTTAAAAGTGACCCGCTTTTTGAAATTCCTGCGAAGAGGCATCTTGGACTGGTTGTGTTTCGGCTAAAGGTAATGATAAGACTTTTTGTATGTCTCTTTGGAATGAATTGACCACAGCTGATCTCTCCCCAGATGTTAAGAACTGTGAATAAACTTTCATGTAAGAATTTGTGATCGCAATTCTTAGAGATGTTTGGATGTCATTGGAAATTCTAATTTTTTCTTATTCACATTTAAAACAGGGTCCCAACTGGCTGACAGAAAAACTCCTGAAAGAACTAAGCAGTTCTGGCAGGCTCTTCCTCATTCCAGCAACCATTCATGACAAGTTCATCATTCGCTTTACTGTAACGTCCCAGTTCACAACCAGGGAAGACATTCTGCGAGACTGGAACATCATTCAACACACTGCAGCCCAAATTGTTAGCCAGAATTATGGGCTGCACTGCATCAATTCTGATTATGGGGCAAGAATCCCTGCTATGGTAGTAGAGCCCAGTTCTGATGCCATTAGTAATGCTTCCCAGCTTTATCTAGATGGAGGGAAATCTAAACCACCTTCCAGAAAAACAGTAGTTAAGCCTAAGTTATCAGTGAGTCCCAGTACACCTGTGATTAGTCAACAAGTGAAAGGTCAAGGGGATCCTCTAGATGACTGTTTTCCAGAAGATGTCCAAGATGTTACCAAACATAAGTTAACCTCTTTTTTATTCAGTTATTTATCTGTTCAAGGCAAGAAAAAGACAGCACGTTCCCTTAGCTGCACCAGTGTGCCAGTGACTGGTGGTCTTGAGCAGTGTAACCCCAAAGCTGCAGCCACTGACAAGGAGGAGTCTCGTGCAAATGCCAGGGTTCTTTCCAGCCTGCCTGAAGACATGATGATGTTCAAAAAAAGTGCCTTCAAAAAACTAATTAAGTTCTACAGTGTCCCAAGCTTTCCAGAGTGTAGCATTCAGTGTGGCCTTCAGCTGCCTTGTTGTCCTCTGCAAGCCATTGTTTAACAAGTAAGAGAGCTTGGTCCTTAGAAAGAGAACCAAAGTTTGCTTAATCATATGCAATACCACGTGTTCTTTTGTTCAATATGTAAGCAGTGGCAATGACCACTGAGAAAATTACTGTGCTTTTACTGGTGAAAACCTCATGTATTTATAGATAAAAATGTCAAATAAATCTTGTAGGCATATAACATGAAACCCTGTGTTTTGTAGACTGTGATAAAGAAAATGCCAGTTTCTGCCTTATCCCTCTGTGTTCTAGATGCAGAGGAGGAATTTACAGTCTTCTAAGCTATTCCTTGAGATAAGCCTTTTCCCCTGTTCTCCAATTACAGGTTCCTCATAGAGGTTTTCAGCTCTACAGAGATTTCAGTCATGAGTTAGTTTGCTTGCTGAGACAGTTAAACTTCAGGGCCACTATCTAGCGATGCTCAGCCTTGCAGTGGCAACTAGAATTCAACAGTGTAAACAGTAATTATGTCACCATTTGGATAGCCTCAAAATTTGAAACAAACTGCACTTCTCCAGTTCCTCTTATTTTCTCTAACGTTTACTCAGCCCTAGAGACCTGTGTTTAGTCAGTGTCGTGTTCCTTCTGATACTTTTAATTTAACACTAAGTTTTGGGTTGTTCTCTGAAAATACAAAGCAAAGCCCTGTTATGCATTAGTCTGTGCTGCACACTGGGACAATCTGTTTTTCTTCAGAAATCCCAAGGGGTGAAGGTGTGTTAGTCCACTGCTAGATATAGTTTTGTTTGTTCAAGTAGTTCTCATTAGTATAATACTTTTAACATGCAACTGCTAATGCATATGTTGTTTGAGGTTAATATATCATGAAATGTGTCACATATGACATGTCATGATTTTGAAGTGGCTGGTACTTTTCTGGTTTTTAAGTTATTTTTGTGAAGGAATTACTAATTCAGATGGGTTATTTTGTGCTTTACTAACATTAAGGACTGCCTTGGTGTATGTTGATACTTTTGCCCAAACAGCTGTCACTTGGCTAGAAATTGCAGTATGTAAACTTCAGTGGTTTTGCTGAACCAAGCAACAATTTCAATTTTGTTAGCCAAGGGACAAGAAGTGCTTTTTTTATTGACTCCATTGTCTGCTAGGTTTTATACTTCAGTGCGTGCTCAGTTAATGGGTTTATGACTTCCCATGGATGCTCCATTTCCATAGTCTTCTCATTTCCAGATTGCATCCTCCTAATGCTTTATGGAAGTACTTGAAAACCAGGTACCTTTCTGCTATAACTCCACAATAGCTGACATTCACAAAACTCTGCATCAATATCCTCCAGGGGGGATGGATTGAATTTCAAGCTGCCTGCAGAGGTCACAAGGGACTACATAATTTAAACTTAGATAATAACCTTATATGAATTTAACTTATATAACGAACACCTCAGTATTTTGAAATGGAAGCTCCAAAACTAACCATCCAAAATAAATAAATAATTACATAAAAATGTAATATTTTTTGCCAAGTATTACTAACATTTGTTACTGTCACAGCCTGAATCTGAGCTCCAGCTCCAGTGAATGATGCACAGGCAAACTGGGAGGGTTAGTTCCTTCATATTTGTAGGGTGCAAGGAACTACGATTATGTGGTACTGATTATTTGCCTGTTTCTGCCACTGTGTCAAGCAGTGCATAGGTTCCCCTTGACTTCAGCTACGAAATCCTAATTGGTCAACACTTGCTTATACTCAGCTTTAGACAATAGAAATCTGTTTCATTACCAGGAAATACAGTTCATGAAATTTATTCACTACTCTTTTCTCAGTTTCTGTGCTCTATTCTCTCATTTGCTTTTTTTTCCTGCCTACTTCTATTTTCAGTTCTTTGTAAGGGGCTCGTTGCTACAGTGCTCATTTGCTCTATTCATAGAGCAGGAAAGGAAGTTAAAAATAAAGAAAAGCTAGACCTTGTCAGATCCTACAGAGCTCCTTAGACCTGGGAGACTTCCACTCTGCAGGTGCCAACATCCAAGACTTTGCAGGGTTTGCCAAGAGGCAAGGATATCTTGCTTTGATCCACCAGATGTCACCAGCGGGCAACAAGTAACTGGAAATTTGCATTGAATTGGGATTCAAGCTCACCGTACAAGACAGGGAGCATGGGAAAGCCCAACACTCCTTATGCTCCTAACCACAGGATGCTCCAGGCTACGGCATTTTCTGTGCAGACAGCCTCCTCTCTTCTCTCTTCAGTTTTCTATTTTGTTATGATTTGATGGGAGATTACACTGTAATGGTACAAGACAGCATGTGCTGTGTGACAAGACAGATTGCTGTGTGACAGCAATCATACCACGAAGCAACACTTACTTAATTACTGGTGAATGGCAGAGATCTGGGATTCAGAGTGGATGACTTGTGACTTCAGTGAACTGGTGTAACAGGCCAGCTGTGTTTGTTCTTTCCTTACCTGTGTCACCTGACACTTCTCACTGAAATTCACAGCTGGGTGTTTTTCAGGATTGCTAAACTGAAGCCTTCAAGGGTAATTTTTCAGTTTCAAATGTCTTTCTGTCACATTTCAAATTCACAGCTACTACAGTTTCTATTAAATGCTTATTTGCAGTTTTACCACAGTTTTTCTGGAAGGTTTCAATCAGATGTGACAGGTTGACCTGATCTAATTCATTGGTGCAGCCAAAAGGAGTGATTCTCTTTCCCTGTCCTCCTTATGTGACCTCCTAACTCCACTGCCTCCCTTGCTCCAGCTCTGGTGCTCTTCTGACAGTTCAGTGATGAATTCAGCTCACTAAGCCAGCAGAAAACTGTTTTGCTGGGTGAGTTCTCTGTTGACTCACTGAGTAGAACTGGCTTTTAAGGAATCATATTAGTAGCAATATTAGGACTAATACATAGGAAGGAATGAGGAAGTAATAAGCACCAGCTTGATCTCCCTCCCCTACATGCTACATCCCAAATTCTCCCTCTGTTCCCTCCCACCTTAGGAAGGAATGCAAGGTGTCTATTAACCAGGCAAAATAATTTTTGTAAATGTAAGAACCAAGTTCTTAGTCTATGGAGAGATAAATCACTGAACCTACTCACGGTGGAGTTCAAAGCCATTCCGTTTTCACCCTCCCTGCCTGGCAGAGGTTCAGGAGATGAAGGTCAGTGAAATATATGCTTTGGCACTACTTAAACTGTGCTAGCATCAGCAGTTTATTGGTATTTTTCCATATCTTTCCCAACTTCTGAGGGATGATGCTTACAAGTCTGTAATGCATCAGGATGTCTAGTAGGTCAGCTGGGTGAGCTGAATTGACATCTTTGTTCACTGAAATAATTTGCAATCACCAACTTTGAAAAAAGTCTCCTTCAAAAGGAGTGAGCCACTCCTGTGACTAGAATTTCCAAGCAAGTTTTGTCTAATGAATTAGCCAGGTCCCTCCTAAAATCAAGAAATCTTGATGTTACAGGGTACCTTTACTTTGCTGCAGCTCTTTTTTGTTCCTTTATGTTAATTACATTGCTTTTGAAAGATAAAATGATGCAACCTGGCTGGAACTAAACATGCCATGACTTGTTAGACAAAGCCATATAGACAGTCCAGATTTGTGTGCTATATGCTTCTGTTCTTCTTAAATTTATCAGATCTGAAACCTCCTTCCCTTTCAAGAAATTGGCATTTTGCAGCTAAGAATTTGTTTTGCTAGAAAATTGCCTACTGAATCTCCTTGCAATACCATGTATTGAAGCTAAAAATCTTAAACTGTTTTGGATTGAGTGGTGAGCTTGGATTTAGCTCTCTGCTCATTTATGACTGGCTAAAGAAATTCTAGGTGAAGCTGTCTGAATCACAGTGAGACTCATCTTTCTGTGCAGAGGTGTTAGAAGCAACTGCTATGAAATTCTAGGAACAAAATTGTAATAGTCTACAGTGACATGTGAGAGATTCCTGGTGTTGGATGGTAACTAGATTCTTGGCATTCTTGTCTTCCTTGGATGGACATGGTTGGGATTCACCAGAGCAGATGTGCTTTCCAGGATCAGTGAAGGGAGCTGTCAAAGCTCAGGAATTAGCTCCTCTTCTAATACAGAAACTCCAAAGGGAGCCTCGCTCAGTTCTCTTTCATGAAGTTGAGAAAATGTTTCCATCCCATAAATAGACTTTGAATTGTATAGGCTCATTACAGATACACAGCCAAACTGCTTCCAGAGCTATGCCAGCAGAAGTCAGTTCAGAGTTCAGTTAGTTGTGTTAATTCAGGTATCCCGGTCATTGCAAGCAAGCTCCTTGTGCTCTCCTCTGCTGAGGACCTGTTATCTGCCAATAATTGGAGTGGCCAAGGGGAGATGAAAGGGTAAGGATTAAGAAGAAAGCTTGGCTGAGAATTTAAAATTACTCCTTTCCACCAAAGTCTGACTTCACTTTTTTTTCACTTGTGATGGAAGAGTAAATGACGTCCATGTGTCCAAATCCAATGTTGTTTTTTTAACCACAATTTTAAGCTTGAATCAGATTCAGCATAAAACTCACTATGAATTTATTAAATCCTCTGAATGAGGCACTCAAATCAAACCCTACTTGTATAACTTTTTACTGTCCTACCATCAAGGCAAAATTATACTCAGCAAACTTTTCAAAGGCAGTAGAGTATAAGCAACATTCACAGGTGCTACCAACAACAGAATCAAGTGGTGGAATGTGCTTATCAAAGAACTGTGTTTTCTTAGAAAAAGGGGAGGGGGGAGAATATGCTTTGCTCTCACAACCTTATTTACTGAGCAGCAGCAAACTAAACAGACAAGTTCTGCCCTCTAGTTCAATCTAAGGGTACTTCAGCCCCTTTCACATGAATAAATTGCATGCATGTGCTAGAAAACAGTAGCTTGAGTAATTCCTCAAGAAACTGCATAGAGTGACTGAGGTTCTGTGGCTTATTCCTCTTTTCAAGGAATCTCTTCAAGGCATTCTAGGGTTCAGTGTAGAAAGGAGAAGCAGAGGAAAGCTGCTTTTTGTACTCCCTAAAGTAAATAGAAGTCTAATAACTTTGGTGCCTTGGGCTGTCCTCTCTTGAAACTTGGTATGGATAAGAGGTTATTGGAGAACCAAAGCTTCCTGTCTCTTCCAAGAAAGAAAGTGGAACAAATGCTAAGTATTTCAACAAAAATCATGGAACCCCCCTTCAAATTAGGAGATTAGTAGCTTACTTGCAGTTGCTTCTCACATAATGGTTAAAGGAGTCATAATTTGTGAAATGGTTGTTCAGATGTATAATGTGATATGGCTGCAATTTTAACTGCAGTGAAAAGAAGGGGAGTGAAAAGAAAACTGGATGCAGTTGTTATTTCAGGAGCACAGCAAAGTTACATTAATAATTTCAATAAATATTGTTCTAGAAAGATGTGAAGCAGTTTCCCAATTTTAAATGCTTATGTACAGCAGGCTATGTTGCAAAACCATATATTTGAGATGCAAGAGATTTCAAATGTACTAGAGCCATGAAGTTCACTTGGCAGACCTGAGAGAAAGTATCGTCACAGAACTGACCCTAGAAAATGTTGGCAGATCATGTTACTGTACACATGGAAATGCTGGTCTGAATGAAATCTATCCCACCAAGTGAAGTGCCTCTTGCTGCATGAACCTCCAGCATTTTTCAGTAGTTAGCACTGCACTGCCTCTGGAAATGACACAGTGTAAAATGTCATGGATTATGGCCACCAAATCCTTTGCCTTCACAGAACTTTCATCAGCTCTGTCACCTTTCTATAATAGAAATGTGACATCTAAAATTAAAACAGGTATTTATGTGCTGGTACTCATTTATATGCACATACAGTGTAGCTAATCACACTGTGGATTTCTGCAACCTCTGTTAGGAAAAGAATTTCATTATTAAATCAGTCATTTCTATGGTGTAACATGGTTTGTGAGTAGCCAGAAGGACAGTGGAAGTCTTACCTTCCTGAAGCCAGGTGGATATTTTTATTTGAGCAAATTTTATTTGCTCAAAGTTCCAGAGATTTGGTTTTTTACTAATTTTAAGCCCAAAGTTTTGTCTAACAATTATCTCACTAGAGCTCTGTCATTGTGTTTTCTATTTCAATTGCAGCTTGTATCTCCTCCCTGGCCCGTGTCCTGCCCTTCACATATGTGCACCTCTACTACCTGTACTGTTTCCTTTGCTCAGTTACTGAGTCTTGTTTTGAGTAGGGATTTATAACTGTGTTTCTCTTCATCCTTTTAGTATTTTGGCTACTTGGTTCCCAAAAAAGGAGTTACATTATTTCATAAATTATCAGACATGCTTGAAATTTAGTGCAATACGCTAATTTGTGAATTATAAAGTGAACTATATACTTTGAAATGAATTTTGATTGTATATGTGATTTGATTGCATTTTGCAACAAAATTGTAAAGACATTTTAACAGAAAGATATGAAGAGCAATATTTGCATAAATAAAATAATACACTAGGAATTGACTCGTACCAATGGACTAACAACCTTAGAAAATTGTGATCTATTGCTACCTAAGTTTCAAATACAAACTGAAAACATCTACATAAGTCATCTCCTTTCAGTCATCAGATTTTTTGGTTTCTGAAAGACAAGGAAGGTTTTAGCCTTGCTTCCAGGAACAGGTTACACAACTGGGGGTTGTGTATGTGCATATATATGTCTGTGTCTGCTCCCTCCTTCCCCTCCCTGTAACTTGACCCTGTTGGCTGCTTTCAGACAAATTTGAGAAAGGGTCATAGGTCTCAATGGTATTAAGTTCCTACAAGTTCTGTGATAATAGCTGAGTGGGGATAAAGAGACCCCTGAAGTGCCCCAGCTAACAAAAAGGAGGCAGAGCTGACAGATACCAGTGTGTCCACATAATGGAGACTCCTTACAAATTCTGATCTGTGATTATATTAAATGCCATCCAGTTTATGATTATGTTTTATCATTTACCATATGAATTGCACAAAAAGATAGGAAATCTCTTCCACTTAGGTCTTGTAGTCACGGGAGTAAGTGTTTCATTCTGTGGTCAAAGCTCCATTGTAGCAAAGTGCGTTCGGTCTGATGGAGAATTTGGCATTCAGTGTGTCACACAGTGAAGATGTCCTGACAAGAAAGAACACAAAATCTTCCAAGAATTACACAGAATTGACTTGTGGGGAAAACTACAGGATTTGTCCTTCCATAAAAGACAAAATAGGCAGAACCCATGTAAAGTTTGTCAAGAAATTTAAATTGGGCTCAGTGAAGCTGGGATTAGGGAGAAAGGATTTCCTGCCATTTTATGTATGTAGCTTGTTTGATTGGTTAAATATAATTATGTATTTTGAGTGTGAAGAATGACAAAGCAAGATTTATATTATTTAATTAAAATTGAAATATCTTTCAAAGTACTTTGAAAAGAGTACATTGTTTTTAGCTCTTTTTATAGATCACAAGTAAAAGTAAAATATTTTAAATTAGAGGAATTGTTTCAATTATGTGTGGAAAAGTATTTTTACTGGTTTTGGAGTTCAGAGTTGACTACAAAATTATGACCTTAAATGAGGAAAAAAACCCACCCTCATTTTAATATTTTGAGGTGCATTTATTCTTTTCAATTGGAACAGTCCAGACTTCTGAACTTCAGGAAGTTTGAAACTTGCTTTCTAAGAAGCATACTGAATTCTTCTGTGTTGCTCCTGATAGCTAACAGATAAGATTTGCTGTGCCAAATTCTCTTCCTGTGGGTGCAGTCTGTTGGAATTTAGCAAGCAGTATCCTTTTCAAGGCACTGTAAGGAAGGCACTGAGGTCTCTCATGTTTGTATTTCTGAGCAGATTAAGTTTCTGTAAGTAAGGCAAAAACTGTTGAGTATATGTAAATTTTAAGACCAGCTCACACTAGATATCTTATACCAAATTGGTTTTATAGGTAATATAACAGAAATACTGGTAAGAAAGGGTAAGCTGTTCCTTAACCTTAAATGTCATGTTCCCCAAGTGCTTCAGGCATGTTGCTGTACCACATTACAAATCTAAACAACAGCAATTAAGGACCTCAATTCCTGGGCAGATGGAAATTCATATTTAAGCAGCAGTATAATCCCTTGAGACTTCTGTTTCTCCAATAGAGATGTGTTAGAGATAAGATAGGTAAAACTAAGACCAGACACTGTCCTAAAACATAGATGAGTTTATACTTCAATCTTCAGTAACACTGGTCTTGCTGCCAAGGATAACTTCTCTCTGCTGTGTCTCCTGTTGCTTTTTCTAGTTCTATAGTTTTAAATTACAATTTTACTACTTAATATCTTATTAATATCTTATTCTCTCATGCTGCTGGTCCAGAATGTTGCTCTTCATTAACTGGAACCACGTTGCTTTAAATGGATTACCTCATTATCAAAATGAGATAAGCCTGCAAGGCACCTTATGTCATTCAAAAATGATGGATAGAATATTACAAAACATGCATTGAGCCCCATTAAAAAAAACAAATCACCACTTGCTAGTTAATATTTATAGGCCAGATCTCAGCAATAGCAATGTGAAGCTCCTTTTTCTGTTTCAAGTTAAAATTCCATACTGAGGTGAAGCCTGGAGGAGAAGAAAATATATTTACTAGATCAGCACATGATTTTAAAATAATTGGCAAGCTTTTGGTTAATGAGCTGAGCTTTCAAGGTATTCCAATAATTCTAGCAATTTGTGTAATAACATTAATGATGTGATCTTTCTAATAAGATTTTTGATCCAAAAAGCTCAGTGCCTGCTAAGTCAACCACATGTTTAAGTAAATTTTTTGTATTTGAATGAATGAATTTGGCTTGCTGTAAGTTTTAATAATCATCACTGGTGATGTGTTCCATGATTTATGTCTCTGTTAAAATGTACACGGCTAGATCAAGTCCTTCTTGTAGAAGAGGAAGAAGATAAAAAGAGCTGCCTAATATAGGAAAAGCAAGAGGACTCTCATTTTGATGCCAAAGAAGGGACTGTAAGGAATGACACTTCCATACACCACAGATGCAAACTGTATGAGGTCTGTATTGGACATGAAGGAACAAAAAATGTGAGCAAAGAAATACAAATAAGTAACTGTTTAGGAGACAAACAAGGGTTTGTTTTTCAAGTGATCCCGAAGATGGTCAGGTGAGGACAGAAGTGGAGTGATACCACTAGAGTGCATTGTAGATGGTTAGTGCATGGACAGCATTGCAGGTATCAAGGCCCATGTGAGGGCAGTCTGGGGGTCAAATGACTCGTATAAAGGCTGGGAGGAAAATGCTATTTACCATGAGTGAAGTTCTCTAGGTCAGACCATAAATGTGCTAGTTAGGAAAAGGAAAGTATTTCTGCTTTGATTGTACTTAGATGAAGATTGGTTTGTGTCCAGGAGGAGCTACCGTTAAAAAAGAAAGAAACAGATCTGTGAGATATGGGAAAGAATGCTTTCACTAAAAGAAATTGTGAGCAGAAATGACTCAGTCCAGAAGAAAAATAAAAAAAAATGGTATAGCATTCAGCAAAAGCTTGTTGCAATTATGGTGAGGACAATTTTAGGGACCCTGTAAAGCATCAAACACATGTAGTAAGTAGGGAAAGAAGTAGTGTGCAGAGTCAGAAGAACTATGTAAACTGAGTTGATAAAGAATGATCCAAAGGTCCAAAACTAGCTGATAAATTGAAAAGGACAGAAAAGGAAGCAAGACCTTTGGATTTAGCCACAAGCCAATCATTAATTTTTTTAGAAGGTCAATGCGAGTAAAGTGACCTTAGCAAAATCAACTGAATCTTATAACAAGTATTTGAGCAGAACTAGCATAAACTGAGGTTTTTTAAAAAAAGATGACTGGTAACTAGGAATTAGACAGCATCAAGAAAATTCCTTTTGAAATTTAAAAAGAATAATCCTTTTATACTTTTTGGTACAAGAATAGTGTTTGATGTAATTATGTTACAAATGACTCCTAAAAACCTGAGTGAGTTATAAGAAAGTTCTGCAGTCGTATGAAACTGGGTAACATGTTCTTGGTATCATGCTAACTAAAATAATTAACTTTTCTCCAAGAACTATGTAAATTCACGGAAAACTTGTACTGTGCTATTTGTCCTGGGAAGGTGTAGTGTTTACCCGTGTCAGAAAGGCAAACTGCTGAATGAATAATTACTTAGTAGAATAAATCTTGCTTACTCGTATTATCTAAGGCATGTAAAAGCTGTGGCTGATTTGCTGTATTCTAAACATTTATTATGTTTTAATATATGTTACTACTAGTGATGTTTATCTTTTTCTGCTGTAGGTATGTCTGCTGAGTTCACTAGCACTGCCTGTGATCTTGCATATACAAGTACTGTTAAATATTGTGTCTTTTCACAGCCATGCCCCACTGTACCAGCTCTGGAGAGCTGGAGGAGTATTGAACAGGGCACTGCTTGGGTGATAAAGGCAGAAGTAAAAATCACGTTCAAATAAAGATGCAGATTTTTTACAACGTTGAACGGAATAACTCAGATAAAAGTAATTTTTGCTCTGTCTGTTTTTTACTTTTGTAAGGAAGATGATTTACAAGTGAACTTACGTGCAAAGTTAAGAAAGTGCAGAATAGCACAATCAGGCTAAGAGGAACACACTAAATATGAGTAGAGCTGGTAGCAAACATATTTCTCCTTGTAGACAGTTTCTGTTGAGTAGAAGTATTTTTGAAGATATGTCTGTTGATTTTATCAGGGAGAGATTTTTGCAGGGAAACATAAGTATAGGTCTATGAGAAGCTAACTGGTTTAGGTTTTAAGTTGACTTTTCATTGTATTACAATAAAGATTTTGAGAAGCTGGAATTTGAAATCTTTTGGGATATTCTTTAAACAGCTCCTCAATAATTAAAGAGTTAAAATATTTACAGGTGAATCACAAACACTTTAGGTTGTGTAGTCTAAAAATCTGAATTCTCAACACATGAAATATTGGAATTTTTGGTAAAATTGAACCTGCTTACTACATGTTTAATGAAGAACACGCATATTTGACGACTAAAAATGACTGAATTACACGCTTCGGTACGTTTTTAGAGCAGCATTTTAAACGTGACTGGAAATCTCCAGAGGCAGATTGCTGCTGAAGAGCCCTTCGTGGAAATGAAATCCCTGACGGCAGCTGCAGGCGGGCGGTGCCCCCCCCGACGGGCTCCGCTCCCCGCGGCCCCCGGGCGGGGCTGGACGGGCCCCATAAAGGCGGAGGGGCGGGTGCGGGGCGCAGTCCCGGGGGTGGGCGCGGAGCCGAGCCGAGCCAAACTAAGCTAAGCTAAACTAAGCTAAGCTAAACTAAGCTGAGCTGAGCTGTCCTGCCAACAGAGATGCTGCGAGTGCGGTGCTTGCGCGGGGGAAGCCGCGGAGCAGAAGCGGCGCATTATATCGGCTCACGGGTTGGTGCCGCCGCGCTGGGGGCTGCTGGGGTTGAGGATGCCCCATGGGGACGGGGTCCTGTGTGGCCACTCAGTCGGGGCGCTCCGAGCGGTGGCAAAAGGGTGCGGGACGGCTGCGGGCTCCTCTGGCTGAGGCTCGCCCAGCATCCACCCGGCTCAGCAGCGCAGAGTTCAGTGACTCCAGTCGCCGCTGTCAGAGCTGTGCTTCTATGTCATTACCCTTCTAAACTGGGTGCGTTTTAAAAGGCAAAATGTCCTTTAAGCGTCTGGTAGGCTGTGAATAAGTTAGAACGGCTGTAACAAGCTGTGCTTCTGTTAATGCTCCAAATAGGGTATGTTCCTTTGGGATTACAGTGTTAAGGCACTTGTGGGCTGAACCATCACTTTTTGCCTTTTGTAAGGGAAGTATAATTTTTATTCTTGTTTTTATTTTAAGCTGCAAAGAGTCTTTACAGGATGGGTGCAGCGAACTTTCCAGAGCACCCAGGCAGCCACGGCCTCCCAGAACACCTGTGCTGCCGATGACAAGGCTACCAGCCCTGTGCCTAAAGACTGTCTTGTTTGCTCATACAATGAATGGGACCCACTGGAAGAGGTCATTGTGGGAAGAGCTGAAAATGCTTGTGTCCCACCTTTTTCTGTGGAGGTTAAGGTAAGCAATAAAAAAAATACACTTAAATAGAAAATAATGTGGGTTTTATACATACAATTTGCCTAAGTGTACAAGGTATGATGTTTACTCTTGAGGATTCTTCTTTCAAAGTAGTTGTTTATATCTGTGAAACTTTACAGTATAGCCATGTTGGTGAGGGGTGTGCTTTTTCTTTTCACTTTTAACTGAACGAGCTGTTTTAATGGAAGTCACTAATAGAGAGAATCTCTATTATGTGCAATTTGCTCTAGTTATATAGCTCCGATGCTATGAAAGTATACATACTAGCTTTTGAGGTAGTGAAACTTTAATTTGGCTTGAAACTAAGTAGGGTTACACTTTAAAAAAAAAAGTGTAATTTTCTACTTAACAGTCTGAGAAAAATCGAATTTAGGTTAGATGTTAGGAAGAAATTCTTTACAGAGAGGGTTATCAGGCATTGGAACGGCCTACCCAGAGAGGTGGTGGATTCACCATCCCTGGAGGTTTTTAAAAAGAGATTGGACGTGGCCCTTAGTGCCATGATATAGTAATTGGAGTTGGATCAGGGGTTGGACTTGATGATCTTGGAGGTCTTTTCCAACCCAATCTATACTATGATACTATGATACTATGAATTCTATAGCTGTGGGACTACTGTATTAAATAGCTCTGAAATAGCTCACTGAAACTCCTGTGTGCTACAGCCAGTATTGTGTGGAAATACATACTCTTCTGTTTTTCAAGATTTTTTTTCTGTGCCTACAACTGCAATAGCAACCTAAATAAATCTGTGTTTCTGTGCTCTCTGAAATCTTGTATTTTAAACAGTAACACTCAAACAATGGGCTTGCTTCAGATTTTTGAATACTTTACCTGGACTTCAAAGTTGCTGTATATGTGTGTTACCTACATTTGTGGGATGCTCTTGAATCATTCCTTCATTGCTACAGTACAGCACTCTCTCCAGGGAAGCATGTAATCCATGGCTATCACAGCAAAATGAGCTGGGACAATATTTCTGCCAAAGGCAAACAAAGATACCGAAAATATATTTAAAGTGCTGGAAATGGTCATCTCGGAGAAGTTTGAGATGTACTAGTGGAGAAGACTTCTCTTAGCCCTTTTTATGTTTGTATTTTTTTTTTTTTTTTAAAGAATCTGGGCTATGATTCTGGGCAGAACTGGTTGAAGGAGTGTGAATGAATTTCTGCAGCTTGTTAGTTCCAATGCCCAGACAGCAAAGTAATCATTTGACTTACATTGGGACATTTGAGATGACATCTTGTGCCAGTGAGCACAATGAAAGTTTCACTACTGACTTCATTATGACTTTTATTTACTCCTTGAAAGCTGAAGCTCAGTTACCAATCTCTGGAATCCCCTTTCAGACACTCCAAAGACATTCTATCTGCTTTGGAGAAAGAAGTGAATGAGTGTCAGCATTTCTAATATACAAGTGTATGTATATGCATCTATATAAGACTGACATAATGAATGCACAGGAGGAGTAAGGAAAAAAATGTCTAACTTTTTTACATTGTGACATTCAGTGAAGCAAAATTCTGTTCTTAAGTAGGGGCCAAGGGCTTGCTTTAGTGCCAGAAAAAATAGTTCAAGTGTCTAACTTGCCGAAGTGTGACATGCTATACAGGTTTTGCTGCCTATTAAGCCATAACTACTCACATGAGATCAGAACTTCACTTTCTCATACGTGTGATATCAAAAGCTCAATGAGGAATGTCAAAGGATAGGATTACCTCTGCAATTCCAATACCTTAACCTTAGGGTTAAAGCATGCTTTAGCTTTGCTTTATGTCAAATGCCAAGCCCACAACAGGTACTGGGAACAGACCATGCCAGCTGAGATGTGGTTTCCTCTAATTTTCCCTGCTTTTGTTGTGAATTTTGCTGTAGAAACTGCAACAGTAACTTTACCTGGGGGATGTTGCTGAGAAATTCAAACAGTAGTTTGGTCCTACCTTGACTATTACTATTAATTACAGATTAATTATTGTTCAAATCTCCATGTGGCTGAAAGATAAGGTGTGTATGTGTGTGTTGCTCCAGTGTAATACCACAGCCAGTTCCTGCCCCTGTGAATAGCTATAGGAGGGTTCATGTGTTTCACATGCCATCTGCCAAGTATGCATGAGGGTCACTGGTTATAAAAACTGCAGTTTGAAAATAATGAATTTGATTTTTATCAGGAAAAATTGAAGTTTTGGACCTGAGACACTTTAAAGAATACATCTCAAACCATAAGAGTTTGGTGAATGCTTGTGCTGAGGTTCGGTTTTAAGATTGTATGCAGGTTTATTTACCAAATATTTAAATGCAGGAAGTCTGTCTGCATTCAGCATTCTTGTACTTTGAGACATGGTTTTGGTATACACAAATCCTTTTGCTGTGATGTGAGACTGCTGTGCTTGGCATAAGAAGGAGGCAGGAAGGAATTGAATAGAGAGCCCTGCATATCTGATGAATATTAATGAGCTGACACTATTGCATATCCTTTTCAGGGTTTGAAATGATCTATGTAGGTTATGTAGAGGTAAATACACTATTTGGAAACATGGAGAATCTTAACAAGGAGGTGAGCAACTGCATTAATTAGGAAGATGTCCTTTTTTGAAATAGCATTTTACTGAAAAATCTCACAATTGAGACTTCTGAAGTTTTCTGAAGCAGTTAACACTTAGTGCAGCAGTTGAACTTTATAGCTTTGTACTCAATGCTTTTCAGTATATTTTGTGAATAATGATGCATTTTTGGTGAAGAGGTATTATTAATACAGGTCACTATATCTTGAGTGAGAATATGGGAGTGTGTTTACTACTGAATTAGGCCAAAAGACTTCTGATTTGAATTTCTGTTTCAATGCCCTTAATTTAATAACTGTCATTACTAGTTTTAAGATACATCTTGATAATGTTAATTATTTTCCACAAAAAGTGCTTAAAATATATAGCAACTCTTGGGAGCAATTCTGTTTCTTATAGACAATCTTTCCTTACAGCATTGCTTAAATTGCTCTCTAAAAAGAGTGAGTTTGTTTCAAATGTTGCTGCAGTGTCTCAGGTACTCTCAGACAGTAAGTTATAAGGTGCATTGAGGAGGTAATTTAAAATTCTTTTCTATGTCCTGGCCATGGTACCTTTTGAAGAGTCTGAACTGACTTGTATGTATATAATCAAAGGGGCCTGAAATCTCAACCCTGATTTGGTATGGAATACATGTCCCAGCCATACACCCTTTTCCCAGATATTCAGAAAGCAGGGAATATGAGTGGTGTTACTCTGACGTAATTTCAAGATTATGCCATTGTATGGTTTCTCAGGTTTGAAAAAAAAACTACTAGAAGACACACATAAAGAGTGGAGCTGCACCTCTCGGGGATGATGATATTCACATACATCATGGCTGGCTCTGAAAATAGCTTGCTTCACTCCATAGGACGAATTTATCTCATTAGCAGAACATGTTCCATAGGAATGCTAAGCACTTCATATGATCTCCATGTGACTTCTGACCAGCTGGCAAGTTTGAGGTGATCAATTTACCCAAGACCTCACTTACAGAAAAAGAATAAATTCCTTCAGGAGGGATGGGAAGAAGCTTCAGTATTGGAGGAGAAGGATGCCCATTCTGGGGCGCTGTGTAAATGTTAAGGTTGAATTTTCTTTCTTCTCTCTCACTTGTGTAACATGAGGGCAAATATCCAGAAATAGTAGAGAACAGAGAGGATAGCCTGGATTGTTAAAGGGGAACAGGCATGCCTTCAGATGAATGGCCCTGCCTGCTCAGGCAGGTTAGCACTGACAGTGCTAACACAAAAGGAACTTTATTGCATGGTTTTTGTTGAGAACATCACTCTCTGGGAGGTATCAGGACTGCAGTGTCAGGAGAGAATCTCATGTTTGGAGGGGCAGGTTCTTCTGCACCCCGTTGCTGTCCTCCATGCTGCTTGGATGGGATGGACTCTGGTAAAAAGAAGGCCTCACCACTTGCTTACCTGTTCCTGACTCCTGCTGTCATTCCAGAAGGGCTCCTTGCACTTGCATCTCTGCTGACACTGACGTGATAGAGGAACATTGGATACATTGAACTG